ACAGAGACTTTTAATATCTACTTCATTTGAAATCACATCAATTTTCTCTGTAATTATAGAATATATGGATATAAACACCATAATAGTTTTCTCCGTATATTAATACAAAATTTTGAAAGGCTCGAAAATTTACCTTGCTATTACTAAATCAGTTTTTTTTAGTTGCAATATTATTCCGATTTTAATAACTCGGGAAAAAGTATCTATGTTGTAAAAAGGCCATTTCGTGATTTTGTACATTCCTCTCAAAATAAATAGTAAAAAGACCACACATGAGCAATATACTCCTATGTATGGCCTATGTGGGGCTATTCAGACCCGGTCTCCTCTATATTCCGAATCTGCGTGTTCATATTCGAATATTAGTCGCGTGGGACATTTTGCAACGATTGGACTAAATTGGAATTATGTCATAGTAATGTTTACGTTCGCAATACGCGGAATCGTAAAATCTCTTTTTAACGTGGTCGTACACGATTTCTCTAAGATCTCTCTCATTAAATATTTAAATGTGAATCCATACGTTCGGCGAATAACTGTCTCCGAATATGAATCCCCCAAAGGTTAAATTTCCGATCGAAAATTTCATTACTTCACGTGATTCTTCAGCTATGCGGCATTCGGCAGACGTTATCCAGTATGCAACGACAACGTAGTGCAGCGTTCGATCTTCCGGTTCCGCATAATTTCGCCTGGCGGACTGCATGCCTGCCGACAACTTGCGTCACAAATTTAGTATTCCGTCGATAATTAAGTGCGGTGATATTGCACGAGAAATGATACATTCGCAACAAATGATAAATTCGCGACAAATTTAGTATTGCAATAATGTGCACTACAAAGTCACTAATCAATTTGTGTAACAGAAAAAAATGTCTTATAATTATGAGTGAAAACTTGGCAGATTAATAGAATTTACATAAAGCAAACAAAAAAGTATTAATAAATATGATTTCGCGAATTAGTTTCAAACTACCCAGCTTTTTATCTTGGAAGCTATATTTTTTTTTTACGCGAATGAAGTGACTGTCCTCAAAAAATTTGGAGTATTAACAACTTATGCACGGAATGCAACATAAACATGTCCGTAAATTTTGGGTATTGCCTTCTTTTTATACAATTTCGCGATACAAATTAGAAATAAATTGTATTTTATATCCAGTAATTTAACCAAAATTCGAAACTTTATATTTGATTGATACCCGCTTCAATCTTACGACAAACGGTATTTTTTGTTGCGATAATCTAATATTGCTAATTAATCTTCATATCAAAGAAGAACATCCTCACGTCTATCGAAGGAGAAGTTTCGGCTTTCCAACAAATCTTGTTCCAAGTTGCTACAACCCTTTAATTTAGCATTCTATCGATAATTAAACGCAGAAATACTGTACGAGAAATTACAAATTCACAAATTTGATATTACAATAATGTGAAATTATTAATTAATATACACACAAAAGATTGTAAACGAAAACTTGGCAAATTAATAAAATTCACATAAAACAAACAAAAAATTCTTAATAAGCAGCGAGTATATTGATGCCGATATCGAAATGAGTTTTCTTTTGAAGTAGAGATGATTGTCGATATTTGAAGTAATGGAATATTCAATATTATTTCAATTCGATATGAGTTTTACATGTAGCAACACATAGACTTTTACACACATACAGAGAAATGCATATAGTCACGGATAAAAACGAAATTCGTGAAGTGAATTTATGCACCCGTCCATTTCATCCATTGGGAACATTCTCTCATTGGAAAACAAATTCTCCCACTGGACAAGACGGAGGCCTCATAAACTCATACTAAAAATTGCGAATAACCTTTTTGTTCGCGATAGAAAAACTTATCAGGAAGCTAATTAATCAATCGCAGTCGGGCATTTTTGAAAACATAACACTCCCTTCCTCCTTTCTGTTTATTTTAAAATTATTTTAATTCTGAGTTTCTGATTAATTTATATATCTCTCTGTGTAATATTAATACATACTTCCCCAATATATATGTAATGTTTTAATATTTTATATTAATAAGCTAACATTTTGTCTCTTTAATAAATCTCAACGGTATAATATTTTTTTTTCAATTTTTTAAATTGAAAACAAAAATATTGCACTATGCTAAAAACAAAAATATTGCACAATATCGGTTTTTTGTAGCATTTATTAAAAATAAGAGTTATTTGATATTTTATTCAATGTATTGACTATTCATTCAATGTCCATATAAATGCTTGCAAAATTGACGAATATATTTAAACATGATATTTTTTCGCAATATCAACATCTCCAATTCGAAGCTATACACAGAAAAATATCATTTTACTGCTACGAACAGCGATTATTCTGTTTATTTTCCTTTTTTTTAAGTAATGGTTTTCTTCAACAAAAAATATCTTTTTTATATGATAGTTTTAAAATATAGTCATCACAAATTTAAAAAAGAACTCATTATCCTTTATCCCTGATTAAAATAGTGGGTACAAAACGATAATATCGCATTACATCCAGTCTGAATTTCAATGTAAATCAATAAGATGATAATTGATTTACATTGATTTTAATTGGAATTTAGGTTAAAGCTTATGTAAAGTTATCATTTTCTATCTATCATTTTAAGCATTCAGAAGAAGAAAAGTATTCTCTTTATTATAATCGAATTTTACTGTAAAACTAAAGAATATTGCAAAACTATACCGGAAAAAAAGTTAGTTTGACTCTATATAGTAAGCAAACAGATTTTTTCTTTCAATTTAACTTCTAGTCTACGGGGTTATTTTTAATTAGTGTTAAATAACGTTAATTACGGCGTTGAATTCTCGATCGATACCATTTTGTTTTTATTAGATAAGAAAAAATATGATAAAGCACATTAACAAAAACAACGTAGCCTAAGAGTTAATATTCTTGATTGGAGTACTAAACTTTAGAATTTTAAATAAAAAATTACAACAGTAAAAAGATTTTAAATTAAAAAACTTTAAATTATTTTTTTATGAAATTGTAACTATTCATGAGTAGATTTAAGATACATAAATATCAAAATAATGGGCCTCATTTGAGAGAAAATGACCCACAAAGATACGTATTCTGTCGAAATAAATGGTATCGTTAAAGAAACCTAGGAAATGTTTCATCAGAAATGGGAGAGATGAATCTTTATCAGTAAAATAATACGGATTATAAATGCTAGTAATATTTATTAATTTAGGGTGACTTTTATGATCAGCATTATGAATACCAATATTTGTTGCATGAATAAGGCAGAAAACGCCACTGGTATTCTAACAAAATGCTTATATAGGCTATCAAATGTCGGTTTTGAATTTTTTTTTGGGTAATTTTCTCCCAAATAGTGAGACGTATCACTTTGATATTTTCTCATCTTTCATTTTTTATCTCATTTTTAATCTGCCCATCAATAACTAGAATTTTATCAAAAAATTTAAGGTTCAAATGCCACAAAATGGGGCTGAAAGCTTATGAGAGCTTGATCGTTCTTTTGGATGCTTATTATGAACTCATGATAGATTTGCAAATATATAATGTAATGAGATACTTGAAGTAAATAGTAATATTAACGTGAGAGAGTGTAGCGTGTATTTTTCTGTACCAAGGTCAGCCAGCACCGGCTGAGTCACGCAATACAGGGCAGCAGGTCGAACCGTGGTCGGGCGATCAGCTGACAGAATGCGTGGTGAGGGCAAGTCCGCATTCCAACGGGATTACATCACGCGACTGGAACGCGGACCTGCCCCCACTGCCACGTTCTGTCAGCTGGCCGCTCAACAAAACGGTCGTTGATCTCGCCCATACAAGTCGCTCAGGTGTTCGCCGCTGCCGAGCGCACTGAAACTTTAAAGGACTCCCGTAACTCGCGAACAAAACTGATTTTCCGTTTGTCGGCTGGAACGAGCCAGCACACCGGCGCGACGATGTGGGCGAGACGTGCTGTATCTGTGCGAATTCCAAGGGTATCCGACGCAAATCAGTTGCATGCCGCGGCGAATTTCAGTGGCTCCGAAAACCTCGACGGCGGAAAGAAGCACGCGAGGCCCGCGGAACTTCGCGTATAAATATCAGCGACGGGGAAAAAAGGACCAGAGAACACGGCGCGGCACGACGGGCGCCGCGAGAATCGCTCTGATTATCTCTGCGAAATATTCCCCAGGCACTTTCGGCTTATCACACGCGCGCGTAACGCCGGTAACTTCGTTGTCGGCGCTCAGGTTGGTCGACGACGGAACGCGTCGTCCTGTAGAGTCGCGTTCGTATCGTATCGAGGTTTGTTTTATGATCCCGGCCAAGTGTGGACAAGTTGCAGTATCGCGTATCAAAAATTGACACAATGATACGCCACAGCCATTTCGACCTAAAGTTGCTATTTCGCCGTCACATCAAAGAAACGATACACGCCCAGTCAGTGTGTGGGCGTTACCCCGACGTGTACATCTAAGAAAAAGAGCAGTTGGTTCAACAAAATCGGCGCTCACCCACCTACAAAGTAATATTGTGCACGGAGTAAAATAATTTTGCTCATTTAGCAAAATCGTCGTTGCTACTGCATATTCGTAGTGACATCAAAAAAATTTAGTTGACGTAACTAATTTTACAAATTATTCGTTTCAAATTATTCGTATCAGAGCAGAAGTATTTTCGTTGCCAGGATAGAAAAATTTGTTGAGTGTATTTGTTCTAAGAATCACGTTAATTTGCTATTGATGCAAAATAATGTATCCTTACCAAATTTATTTTTGGAGCAAAACTGCAACTATTTTTATAAATCCATCATAGTTCTTATAGCAAAATAATTTGTAGATTCAGCAAATTATATCCACACGGAAAAAAAGGTTTGGTTGAATTAACCAAATATCTGGTCGAATATGAACGATCCAGAAATTCCGATTGAAGTAATCCGAATTCTGTTTAAGTCAACCAAAAATCTTGTTAACTTAAACAGAATTCCAGTTACTTCAATCGGAATTTCTGGATCGTTCATATTCAATAGTAATCAGTACTCTTAGCAAATCTTTTTGCTGTCCATATAATAACGAAAAGATTTTGCTAGACCAGCAGAAAATTTGCTGGGCCAGCAAATTATTTTTCTTCGTGTGTCTATTGAACATTGGTGCAACAATAAATTACGTTGACACGGTTACTGAAATTTGTTATTGATATAATTACTGAAAACTATTACTGATACAGTTACCAAATCACAATCATTAAATCAATTAATAACTCCTCAACAATAGGTTTGCGACTAAATGTTTATTTGAACGAATAAAGTTTTATTAACTCAACTGCTTTTTATCTCAGTATTGTGTATTATGATCGCGTGGAAACAACATGAAACTAAAGACACTGATGTATTACAAATGGAAAAATCAAAAAGATACACACTAAAGATACGGATACAGGATACAAATACGAATTGAAAACTAGGCTTTATCGTAACGGTGTATCAGCGTATCATATCATGATATGATACACGATACGGTGATACGATACAAAACTGAACATACCTTAAAACGTATCGCAAATTGCTCATCGTATCGTATTCGCTTACTGATTGAACAACGCACGTGGCGTTCACGATAACCATTATGCGATATTTATCATCATTTTGTAAATGCTTTAAAGAAGTTCCAAGCTTTTGATAGCCAAAACAATTATTATATATTGATGTCTTATAAATGGGAGCACTTTTCTCCAAATAAAAGTCGCTATCTAGTTTTAAGACATGTAATACTCGTGATGACTAGTATAGGATATTAATCATGAATTTGTAAATATTTTAAAGAAGTTTCAGGATTTCAGTAACGAAAACAATCATTTATGGATGTTTTATGTGTGGGAAGTATCTTCTTCTAAATGAAAAACGTTATCTACGTAGTAAGAACGATTTCTTTGAATTGAGCCTTCCTATTTATTTGAGTTGGATTTATTGGATTTAAGCAATATAATTTTATATGAAATATTATTTATTTCATTAAATTAATCATATTGTGTGTGATGGAAGAAATACTAGTATTTAAAGGAAATAAAATTTAATTTTTAACCAAAATAAATTATTATTTGCTAATATTTTAAATTTTATTTTATCGAATTAAATAATGTTATATTTTATTGAGATTCGCTAATATTTTAAATTTTGTTTCGTTGAATTAAAGTATTATATTTTACAGAGAACATCTGTTGTTTTAAATGTTTCGTTTTTCAATGTAAAATCTATTGTTTGTACTAACCAATACGATATTTGGTTAAAAATTCAAAAGCATTCATGTCATCGCTGATTCGTTATATGTACATTCTTTCAATATCCGTTAAATATTGACAGTTATTGCATTGTTTTTATCGATTGCCAGAAAGTAAGGCACGAAAAGAACCTTTTGAACGTTAAAGGAATGCATTATAAACATACTCGAGGAAAAAATGATTAGATAAGAAATTTGGCATAATATAATTGTATGTGATAATACAATTATATATGTTTACATAAAAAAATACTATTTCACACACAAACACAATTGTTACATATATTATAATACTATAATTCCTATACGATAGTTGAAGTAAAAAAAAACCCAAACCGTCGCCAGTAAAGAGGATGGATGACCGCATTGCGCGTTTAAAAAAATATTTTGCTGGTTCAGGTAGAATTCTAAATGTCACAGTTAAAACTTATCGCTGTTTTTGTATCTGCTAGGAAATTGTCTGTGGTACGTAGAATTTACAGTAGCAGCACTCTGCTAACAAATTTAGGTGCAGATTATACGTTCGTTTGTCTCTCGTCACTAGTCCTTTTTGTCTAGTATAGTCACTTTATAAGAAGTGTGACTGGCCTTAATCTGGATGTGCCACAAAGAGACTTTCTTACTAAATTTCACAAATAGTTTAGATAGAAATTCTGTCTCTCTCTTTTTCTCTCATTTATTTTACTTAAATATGAAACATACGTGATATTGCATGCAAATTTTGCTAATCATTTATCTTGCATTTTAGCAAATTTCTCATATCTAGATAATCTTCGTTATGGGATTGCAAGATCACTTTTTTGAGTGCTGAATGATAGAATATGTAAGTAGAAAAATATACAGGAGAAGAAGAATGCATATGATGAAGTAATAAAAAGACAAATCATCAGTAATATAAGAAAAGAAATGTTAAATTTTTTAAGAATGTTTATCGACAGAATTATATCGAACCTTTTTTAATAAAATTACAAAATTGAGAGAGGCAATTTTCTTCTCTAAACCAAGCAATAAATTACTTAGGCTATACAATAAAATTTAAAAGTCTTGCATCAGAAATTAATTTAATTGCGTTATTCTAATAAATAAATTTCTTTTAATTTAACAAGCTTTATTAAATCCGAAAAAACCGTTCTCTCTACGTAGTTTCGAGGAACGTAGCGTTTACGACAAATAGTATGCAATGTCAATTATTAATTCAAGCGACATTCGAAGCTGTTTGAAATATATCAATATTTAAGCTTTTCATGGCCGCCATCTTGAGTTCGCTATTTTGAACTTAAAGAGTACGGCGAAGAATGGCTCAGATTTATAGCCAAAAACTTTTGAAATCATCTTGAGCTTATGATAAAGTTTATGGTGCGTTAATTATAAATATGCAAATGCCGAAGTAGTCGGACCTCAGATTCCAAAGATATGGCCCACTGAAAGTCCCATTCCCACGAGATGGCGCCAGTGCTATCCGCGTTGAACTGCAGCAGAATACGTTGGACGGTTATTGCACTTATTATATAATAATTATATTATTATATGATAATCATATCTTGACCAGCCTTGTCACTTATGACAGTATTGTCAATCAGTATTTGGTTATAGATTTTTTCACAACATCGATATATTCTAAACCTTGGGTCTGAGGCAATCTGAGGAAGGTTCAATAGAATATCTCTAGAACTTGAGGTCCAAACATTTTGGCATTTACACATTTGTAATTTACACACTATATAAACTTTAAAAAATGGTTTCAAAATTGTTGAGCCATGAGTCTGGGCTGGTGGCCTATAGGCACTTGGTCTCACTCTTTTAATAATAAATTTGGAATCAGCGACCCCAGAAACTTTCATAATCGTCTCAATGTGGAACATATCTCTTCTGGGAAAGCCGGGGGTACGAAAAGGTTAAAGAAATACCAAGCTTTCGGCGACCAAACCATTGTCATCGCACATTGCATCGCACAGTGATGCATGATATGCGCGTGTTATACATAAAAATGCTTCCTTCTGAGCGAGAGTCGCTATCTGATATCCAGGGAAGGAAAATCGCGCGCGGCATACGAGACGTTGCTCCGTCGCCAGCAATTTGGACGAATTTCCCGCGAGTGCTCATAAATTATTATCAATGGAGGACCGAAACTGCTCAGTGGTAGATCAAAAGGAACATTCAGGAGCCAGCGGAGAAGCACAGCGTCCCATTTCGGGATGCATTACCAGCTTCGTAGCGAATTTGTAGCGGAATTTTCGCGAGCGCAAATTAGTTTCCCGGGGGATATAAGGGCGCGAAACGGTATTCATCATTGTACGTAGTTCGCGCACAAGTTACGAAATAATTAAATTCGTCTGATACAGCAACTGTTGACCCGTTCCCCACGGGCAACCGGCAATTTATCAGGGAGCCGAGCGTCGCGCCTCGTTTCGTTCGTTAAAATCACGCGGCCCGATAAACGGATAATTAACCGTCGAAGCCGGAGACGACTCCCGACGCTGGAACAAAACGCCACTCTGTTTATGCGCGGCTGTCGGAGCTTGCTTTTCGCCCTCGAGTCATCGGCTGCACGAGCACGCGCGAGCTCATGCATACTTTACCGAGACGGATGAATTTTCCGCGCGCGTGCGATGTAATACTTAACTCGACGCGAGCTGCATCTGCTACCCCGTCCTACATTAATCGCTGTCGGCCCGACGCGCTACCTCCATTAAGCGAATCCGCGTACAAATGAACCGCTTCCAAAGGTGCAGTGCAAGGCAAGCCGGTCGCGAGAAATTGATATCATTGATCGAGGGCCGGTTAGTTATCGTCGAAAACGGAAAACGAACGGCGCTTAATATCTGCGCGGATATCGCGCCGGGAGTTCGGTCCGTTCGCAACTGCCGTAAATACAGAAGTGCAATTTGCCTGGCGATTTCGGCGGAAACGAAGAAGAAGGACGCGATCAGACGGCGGCTGTAGATCTATCCGCGCGCTCGAGAATCACGCGAGAATCTACGCGGCAACGATTACCAGCGATCCCGCCTCGCGTTGTTCATAAATTACCGCCGCGCTAGTTTTACCAACAGTGGCTCCGACCGGCGCGTATAAATTTGCATGTAAATTAAGAGAGCACGCGGAAAATTACGGAAAGTTTCTAATCTCTCTCGTGAAAAATGCAGCGGATTCGCCGCGTATCGGCGCGCTGCGCTTCGCGTGCAACGACTCGAAATCGCCAGAGTCGGAATTTTCCTGCTGTCCTCGACCTCAGTATTCCATTCAACGCTTGTTTTGACACTTCGAAGTCTATATCGATCTCTTCTGCTCTTTACTAAATCCACACGATAAAAAAACTTTTGTATTTGTGTTGGAATCGATTCTTCACTTCCACACAAATCGACAAAAATTCTTACGTTCAATTTTCAGCATGACAATTATTAATTTGACATATTGTCATTGCGTTATTTTAATCATTCTGCGTTGAATTTATATTCACTATTTTTAAGGGTTAAAGAATAATAGTGTCCATATATTACACTTATGTGGTAATTTTCGCCATATTATTGATGTTACTTGTATTTGTCTTGTGTTTTAGATTAACATTAAAATTAGAATGAATAAATTGGAACATATGAAATATATTGAATTTAACATAAAATTTTTTACAGTGTGCTAACTTTGCCTAGAAGTCCTCTTTAGAATATACAAGTAGCATTTTGCCTGTTTATTCCCATTTAGAAGCGCTTAAGTAGGACCTCGATGTGTATTAAACATACACTGATCCTTCAGAATAACCGGGTCGAAATCTTAGTCCTACTTTCGCGACCTAAACTTTCTGACATCTGTATGTCTTCTGAAAGACCAGTGTATCTTTAATACACCTGAAAACTGGAGTTCTACCAGAATGGTGCTTCCAGAATGGTAGAAAATGTACAAAATACCAATTGCAGGTTCTAAAGAGGATCTCTCAGAAAAGTTAATAGATTAAATAGTTCAAAGTATCAAAGTAAACATTAAATGCAATGAGGGGAATGTCCCAATTAATGACTGTGTTCTAATTAGTGACAGTTGTATTTTGTTTTTGTTAATATTTCGTTTTCATTAATAAATCAGCCTCAATAAATTCCCTTAATAAAATAGTTCACACACCACCCCGTATTTATCCCCAACATTTACCTTACGTCACAAATTAGAATAAAACTACACTGTCACGTCGCTAAATAATACATCAGTCATTTTTAAGAAAATATTATAAATAAAATAAAAGTCTTCCCATAAGTTAGAAAAATATGACACAATTGAAACCTCAAATATTCAAACTTTTCCATAAAATCAATTTTGTACACATAATGTAACACGTACATTATTAAATAATTTATATGTTTTCACGATGAGCTTACATGATTATTAATTGGGATATTTACTCTATTGAGGTCCAAAATGTGGTTAAAATTTCGACTGGGACGAGATGTACGAGTCGAGAGGAACGGACGTGTGAATTGAAAGGAACTGAAAAGGCACCGTGCGCCATATATGTGTCGCGTCGCCGCTCAAAACGAATTATCGATTCTTTCCGCGAGCGAACGTTTGAACGATCGACGGCAATTTTCAACGAGAAGCAAAATGCGAGCCGAGAATGACAACCGCGACCCTGATTATGGAGGAACGGCGCTCGGATCTTAATATCGGCCGTAAATGGAACGAAAGACGCAAATACGTCGACATCCCTCAACGTTCCGCTCGGTTCGCGCGCGAATTATCGGGGCTGCTTCCTTATTTCTGGCACATTGCCTCCTCGGCTCGACACATCGCGGAAAACGGGAACAAGCGGCAATGCCTGCCTATTTCGCCCCGCGACTCCCCGACGCGATTCCTCTGCTCTGCGCTTTCTCATTTCGGCGTTTTCTCGAGAATAACGACTTTCTCGTGGCAGGAAGATAAATTGGCTGTCGCGCAAGGCCTACAGTCGGGCCGATCGATTTCGCAGATAGATTTTAGATGAGTCCATTTATCTGCTGCGAGCCGCCGCACGAAGACTTTCCGCGAGCACCGTTTCTCATGCATGAAGGAAAATTTGTGCGCACAATAGAACCGCTGAAAAGTTATCAGCTGGGAATTGTTTGAAATATCTCTTTCCAGATAGGAGACGCCGGTAGTCCCTTTCTCTGTTGGATATCTGTCGGGCACCGTGTGTAAAAAATATTTAACTGGTACGCGGCCTGTAACAAAGTACAGTTTCATATAGCTTCACATTCATGGAGAAACTTCATGGAAAAGTGAGAGAGAACTTTATGAGAGACAATATAAAAGAGTAATATACATATATAAATAAAATGTAAAAATATACGGACATACGAATATAATGAAATGTGAATGTAAGGAACATTCTGAGGAAAAAATGGATAGAAGAAAATATGATATCTCATCAACGGTATTTCGTTGATTATACAAAATAATATAATCTCATTCTTAGCGGAATCCTCTTACATATAGAGGAAAAGGTTTCTTTGGATTTAGCATTCCTACTTGTTTCATTGCAATTTCTTTGACACAAAGTAACACAAAGTTATTTTATATTGAACAACATAATTTTTTATGTCAAAATAGCATTGTATGTTTTATTAGATTAAATAATGGAAAAAATACTATTATTTAAAGAAAATATTTAACCAAATAATATATTATATGTAGTTATATTTTAAATTTTGTTTCGTTGAATTAAATCGTGTTATTTGATTGAAAAAGAGCTCCGCTTTAAATATTTCGTTTCTCAATCTAATCTATCGTTTGTACACTGAGAAAAAAGTGGTTAAATTAAGGAGACTTTGCTTGCATGAATAAAATTCGTTCAAGCAAACGTTTGGTTAAACGAATTATATAATTGTTGTGATAAAAGAGAGTGATTAATCGATTCAATGATTACGATTTGTTCAGTAACTATATCAACGCAACTTATTGTTACACTAACGCGTAATTTATTCAATAGATACAATATTTCTGTGACTGCCGATTTTGTCGAACTACCCTTTTTTTAGTGTACTAACTAATATAATATTTTGTTAAAAATCTAAGAGCAATCATGGCATCATTGTTTCGCTATCTACACACTCCTTCGTGTATATATAAACATAATACTGGAAAAATATCATTCAATCATCATTAATTCTTATGCGATCGTTGAAGTCAAGTAACTCACACTAGTGACTAGTAAAAAGGATGGATGACCGTATCGCGGGATGATGGAGTATTTGAATGGAAAATCATAGCGAAAGAAGAATGAAGCAATATAAAGACAGACCACATTAGTAATGTGAAGAAGGACACGTCAGTTTTCGAAGATTATTTAAACATAATTATCAAGTTTTCTTAATAAAATAAGAAAATTATGTGAAAACAATTTTCTTTTCTTTGAATCAAACCATAAAATTACTTGAAAAGTCAAACAATCGCGTTTATTGACTGAACATTAGTATCTTTGGACCATTCTAACGATCAAATTTGTTTGAATGCAACCGAATTTATTAAATCCAGACAAATATTTTCTCTGTGTGAACTGAGAAAAAAGTATTTGAAAATTTCGTTGGTGCGGTATAAAATTTATTCACAGAAATAAATCTTACTTCACGAAAATATATTTTACTTCGCAGAAATAAACTTTTATTCCACAAATAAATTTCCAAATATTTATTTTCTCGATTTATGTAGCTTCAAAAGAATACTTCTAAAACCAAAAAGAAAATATTCTAAGCGCAATATTATTCCTCTTCATTAGAAAAGAGATGCTCTTTCGACGAAAATTTCCGTTTACAATATAGGATTACAGGAAATAGTACCTTGCAATTAACTTTCTTTCTGGAACTTAGAATATTTCACTTTTAGGATCAGGAGAACCCTCTTGAGGCCGTAACATATAAAAGGATTCCGCCAAGGACGAGATTATATTTAGTTATGCTGTCGCTTTGTATGTGATTTTGCTGAAATGTATTAGGGAAAATTCACGACTTAGCAGAAAACAAGAAAGCAAAAACCAATCAGAACTCGCGCTGGTAGAAAAGTAGAAACTAGTCGACTACCATCTGACTAACCAACATTAGTTCTGATTGGCTTTTGCTTTTTTGCTTTCCGCTTTTCTGCCAAGATGCGAATGCGCCCTTAAACCTGATCTACAATGTGCTCTTTTCTTTCTGTTTCTTATTCTTTATCCTTTTCTGACTAAAGGTTCAGGATTTAAATCAGAAAGAGATAAAAAAAGAAACAGGAAGTAAAGTGCGCTATTGTAGATCAAGCTTTACACACGCCTGATATCTTTGTCGCTACAATTGCGTCTATGGTATCGACAAAATTAGGATTCGCACGTGAGCCCCGCCTAGTTTTGCGAACGTAGACTTTTCCAACCACGTGTGCGACCAATTGGGACGCATTCACCTCGGTCATACGTGGGTGGAAATTTTCAATGAACATGCAGGTGCGGCCGATTATATAAGCGGAACGTTGCGTTTATGTTTATTCGACATTTCCGGAATTCAGCGTGTGCGACAGGGACCATAATTTTATTCGCATCGACGCGCAGATTCGGACTCCCCTTTGCCGGGGTGGAACGTGCCAGCGCTATTATACGTACCTTAACGTCTCGCAAATTTGCAATGTCGTTCGCAGTTATCCCCGGACCGACGGCGGCCATCGATTACCGAATTCAAACACGGCGGCCGGGCTCAAAGGGCGTCGCGCGCTCGCAATGAAATGAAAAGCAATTAACGCGATCGTTAGGCCAACGACAGTTCCTTGCGTGCAGATAGTGAAATGCCGAAATCAAGGACGAATACCTCGTACGCGCTTTCTTTCTCCCTCCCATCATGAAATTCCTTTCTGGAATGAGCTGGGCAGTTGATCGTCTATCTGGTATCTCTAGCCTGGATAGCGCCAGGTTCGCGTTCTGTATTTCGACTGTTAGTAGCGTAACACAGAGTATTCCACTCCCGTTGTGGCTCCGTCACACGTGTGAGAAAACGATCCTGCGATCCTCGCGCGCCTCAACCTCTTTAGCGCACGAGCACACGTATACCCCCAGCGCGTTGCGTCACATGAACGACGGAAAATCCCCCAATCGTGCCATTAGTGTTGAAGAAACGTCGCTGGCGGCGGCGCGTAATCACGCTTATTATGTAACATCACATATATTTCCGCGCTCGCGCGAATCACGTATTTCCGTGCCCTGCACGGCAATCAATTCGCACGGACTCCCTTAATTTCGCCCGCGATCTTTTTCACCCCGTGCACTTTGTGTAATCGTGCATCAATCGCGCCGTTGAACTGCCATGGGGCGCGTACAGCGGCCGGTAATTACTAGCTGCGAACCGCCGTTGTACCAATTAGCCACGCAGTAACCGCGCGATAACATTGCAGTAACCCGACGTGATACTGCAAGGACCTTTTACGGACGCGAGCGACCGCTCGGCTGGAATCGAAGGATCGTTTCCGTGTTCCCGAACGTGTCGTACATGTCTCTCTCTCTCCCCCTCTCTCCTTCTCACTTTTTTTCTCTCTGTTTCTCTCTCTCTCTCTCTCTCTTTCTCTCTCTCTCTCTCTCTCCTCTTTCTCTCCCTCTTTCTTTCTCGTGTGCGTATGCATGTGTAGGCGCGAATGTCGGTTTTTACACGTATATATGGTAGTGCTGGGTGTGGGAAGGGGACGGTCGCGGAACGGTCGGTCGATCTGTCAGTGCTGCAGCGGAAAACATGCAGTGGAGTTGAACGAGTTCGACTCGCGGCCGAAGGGCCGGAAGGACGGTCGAGGGCGGGAAGAGTGAGCGGGGCCTAGAAGTCGGACTGCGACGTGGCCAGGGCGCTCTCGGCCGTCTCCTCGCGTCGTCATAAGGGCCTCGTCACCTCGCCGCACTCGCAATACGTCGGGTGTCCACGACGGTCCACGCGGTTGCTGATCGAGTGGTCGCTGCAACACAAAAGATGAGCGAAGTGGTTAAACTCGTGGATCGTCGAGTAGGGGCAGGAGGGGGGAGGGGATGTTAGATTAGATTTCTCGTCGAAGAAGCGTCGAAGGAGCGTTAGATTGGATTACTGTAGCTATTGTAGAATCGGGACACCTCTTATATCGATTGTACCATCATAAAGAGGAAGAACACAAGTGCCTGTGCAGATTGTGTTGCTTACTTAGTAGTTGATGTACGTATATCGACAGTGTGATAGGGAAGACTGGGTCTAATTGCAACAAGGGTCATGCTGGCCACGCGTTTTGCTTACGTATTTATCGCACAGTGGAGACAAAATTGCAGTATCCCTTTTTCATAGGATACTTTTCTTTGAATCTTTCATTAGAATCGGCATAATATTAAAATTGGGCTAATATTCTTCATCGTAAATAAATAAATTTAAGTAATGTGTTATTAGTTAGGATGAAGTTTCCTGTAAATATACGATACGCTCTGTTTCGAGTAATAACAACAATTTTCATTCATAAGATGATTGAAATCGAGCATATGGACGGACGAGTTAAAGTTGGCCGATATTCAAGAGCCTGCAGGAGACTATGGAGGCACTGTGAAGAACTTTGGCGGAAATTAGACCCCAAATTAGGTTAGAAGATTAGGAACTACTAATTAGAATACATATTTTATATGTAATCTTCTTTATGTGTGTGTATGTGTGCAGGATTCACGTTGCGTCCGATATCCGACGTACGACGATTCGATATTCAATAGTAAAGTTTGTTTCTAGCTAGTGTCACGTTCTAGTGTATTCAGAATCTAATTTTCCTATTAGATGTCGCACGTCGGATGTCGACATAGTGTGAATACTGCATCACCCTGTCTTGCTCAGCAAGTTGACCCGGTATCGGGACAAGATAGTTATGTTACAGCATGTCAGTATTTCGGTAATTACGGAATAAAGACAGTCTACGGGATCATTAATGGTATAAAAACATAGAAGGAAGTTGTTTCTATCATGCATGTAGGATTAATCGCCAGCAAAAACTTAGCTGAAAAATTGAAATTCCGGAAAGTGGTCCAATTTGATCCGGTCTCCCCTATCGAGAGATTTCTATGATAATAAAGAAAATAGTTATTGCAAGCTTTGTGTAAATAACAACAGGGAAAAATGTGTGTTTATAGGGATAGAGAGGGAGAATCAGTGTCTTTTAGAAGCAAGTATTGATTGCAATATTACACAGATATGCGTGCTTTGAGTATAGATACAGCGTAAGCAGAGAGAGAAAGTGAATGAATGATTTATTTATTATTTATTATGCGTTCTAGGTTAAATTTATTAACTATATATTATGCGTTCTAAGATAAATTTCTTCAAGCGCAAAAAATATAAGAAGTAGAGAGAGAGAGAGAGAGAGAGAGAGAGACAGTGTTTAATAAGCTCCGTTAAAACGAATTAACGTAGATTGCGAGTTGATGAAATTGTAAAATTCACTCAGAATATTGAATTTGTACAATATATATGTCCGAGCGCAAACAATTTATTTCGACGTTAACTCTTTAAGAGAGGCAACTTCTATTCCATTTGATACAGCTTCCTTATTAAGGCACTTCATTAGACCGGCACAGATGAGACTGCATTCTTAGAAAAGCGATCCGCTGGAAAACGAGTAACGCCGGCATTTCTTACCTCGCGCTCATTGTCATCCTCCATAATAATTTATGCAGCGAAGTATCCTCCAACAAGACGTTATTAGACATAAAAAGGATCCAGCCCGAGAGCGCGCTCAGACCATTATTTCTCTTTTCATCCCTTAACCAGATTTCTTTCTGCGCGAGTGTTCCCTTCACGCAAATGACACGACAAAAATGCATCGATTTAAGTGTGAAAGTTGATTTAAATGTGTCGGAAAAATTTCTAACTTCAACACTCGCCTGCGGAGCACTTTTCTCCTCATTTAGTTCGTCATTTTATAACAACGCCATTCTGATAGCCGGGAGAAGTCGCGCGCGTAATGGAACGATTGAAAGCGATGAAATACACGGCGTGGAATCCTCGATTGTGCTCGACGGCGGCGGGCAGCTTGCCGTTGTAACGTGCAAATAAACGAGTCGTTGCGAAGGCGCGTTCCACCCGGCCGTTATGTAGCGACGAGACGAGACGATTTTGCGAGGATTCTTCCACTCGCCTGGGGTAGACAAGAGGGGGAGGGGGGTGCATTTCCGTTACCCCGGAAAAGTATGCTTCGCTGATGAAAGCCAGGTAATCGGGAGTGTAATAAGACCACGGTTGCGGCTACACGTTTTCCCATTTCCACACGGAAAGAAAAACTTGGTTGAATCAGAATTCAGGATACATCAACGAGACTGTTTGGTGAGATATAAACGAATCATATTTTTTTTTAACCAGGCGAATCTGATTAGAGCGGTTAGTTAAAATAATGAGAAAAGTTTGATTACTTTAACTAAACTAAATTAGATTTACATTTCTTATTAGAAATTTTATTACTTTTTTATCAGAACGTTGTTTTTTAAGGTGTTAAGTTTGATCCACAATGTATTCTTGTTTTCTGTTTCTCTCTCTTTATTTCTTTCTGAGATCAAATCTTAAGTCTTATGCTTAATCTACAGTGCGCTCTTTGCTTCCTGTTTCTTTCTCGTTATATCTCTTTCTAATTTAAACCTTGAACCTTTAGTTAGAAAAAGATAAAGAATAAGAAATAGGAACATCACATTGTAGATAAGACTTAAGGCTTTAAGTCAGAAAGAGACAAAGAGAAAGAAACAGGAAGCAAAGAGCATATTGTAGATTAAACTTGAAGCTAGATAAAGACAAAGAAACAACAAACAGGAGGCAAAGAGCTCATTGTAAATCCAGCGTAAGTGTGTGATTAATTTGCTTGAAATTGAATTGATTGCTGTTATATTGTATTTGGAAAACTTGCCTTTTATTCTGATGTGATTCGAACCGATGACTCTCGAAGATTTGAATGGCCTGTCTACGCGCTATATCACTTCATCAATTAATAGATCCGTTATATATTGTCTACTTGTGCTGTAATCAGCGTTGTATACTAACATATGTGATTATAATAACTAGAAATTTTGTTTAGCACAACCGACAGTCGTTAACCAAACATATTACGTTTATCCATAACCAAGCTTTCTACTCATAATAAGCAGACACTTGGATGTTACAACTGGACTGGCAGTAATCAAACTTTGACCGTTTAAATATTCTGGTTGGCAACTAGAATATTTCATTATGATAACCAGAAATTTTCTGTTTCAGCTAAATCTTGTTTAACCATACATGTCACGTTAATGCAACCGAGGTTGTTTTTTCCGTGCCTCGCATATCGATATTTATAGGCCACAGCGCTGCGACCGTTCGCAGACCCTGCGCGTTTCCGTAAACTGTACAAAGGTTACGCGATAACTATATAAAGAACTGCACAAACAGCGAGCGCGATAGTCGTATGAATTCATTCGTGACGTCAATGACGCCACTGTACATATACCGTCGACGATCACTGTCAGCGATGCGATTTTCGCGCCGTTTGCAACGTTACGCAACAATTATATCGAATTTGTTCTGTCGGAAACGCGTTGTTTATTGGTCGCTTTCCCCTTAATCCTTTTTAATCCCGCGGTAACGATCGAAAAAGCGTTCCACGGCACTTTTATCGCCAGCATCGGGAACATTGGATCAGATCGAACGCAGACGATTCGACGTACGAAAAAACCGTCCACATTAAAAACCGTGGTAACTCTATCCGCGCAGAATCCACATTCCGGACGCCGTTAGAAAGAAAACACGAACACCCACGGAAAATATTTACGCGGATATTTCGAACTTTCTCGATTGGCAGATAGACTTTGTGATTATCACGACGTGAAACAATTTCGATAATGGAAATTTTCCAATTTTATTTATTTTTATTAACGAAACAAATAAGCACTCTGTTAAATTAACCATCAAATTTGGTCATACTGAAACTTAACAAGATATATATTTTTATATATATCTTATAGATATATATTTTTATATATTTTTTTAACCTTTACTTAACCATCAATCTATTCCACAAATTCTCAGTAGCTTTGCGTTATATGTAAAACTAAAATGTAGCTTTAGTGTAGTCTATATTTCAAGTATCATCTGATGCACATTTTTATAGTACTTAAAAGAGCAAAAAGGGCAATGTCAGATATTAAGGAATGTTTGTTATATACATTTTTAAATCGTATTATAATATTATAATATTATTATAATAAGACAGAATTTAAAAGATTATAACAGATTATAAATTTATTTTTCTTTACAACATTGACAGCGTCAAAGAAAATGTAATTTTCAAACTTTTCTAAAGTGTTGCTTATCCTTCAATTTTTGGTTTAAATGTTCGTATTAATTTTCTTTTTTTACTACTTATATAAGATTATTCAATCATTAATATTTATTCAAAGACAATAAAAATTAATTTTTTGCAAGATAAATGCAATATTTCATCCAATTTATTTCTAAATAACATTTCAAAATCTACCTCCTAAAAAATTTCTATTGCGTTAAAATTTCTACAGATGAACGAAATCGTAAAAGACATGTAAAAAAATACTTAGCATTACTTTTTAACAGCTTAACGAAAGCTAATTACAGTTGTATTAATTCCAATTCATCTTCCAAAAACCGGATTACATTCCGTAATACTCAAAGTTCCTCTATTTGAATGTTACAAAGAAAGAGATATCAAAACAGCGGCATCTCTCCTGATAATCTTATTCTCTCGTGAACGCATTGAGAATTCTTTTTCTTCTCTTCTTTCCTTCTTTTTTCCATTTTTTGCCAATGTGACTCGTCACCTACAGGGAGAACCGGCATAGTTTGGCCGACTCCGTCAGACTTTTTCCCATTTCGGTACGTCCTCCCTCGTCGCCGAGCTCTATCGGGACCTTTAGAAACCACTTCAACCTAAATTCCGCGGATTGCCTCTTCTGATTACGCGCCGCGAAGAATGGAGGACAGCCAAACCCTGGTTACAAAAGGTTCCATTGTCGGATTGGAAGTCGACGAGATTCGCTCGTGCGCTGATAGCCGAGCCGGGGCTTAGGAATATTGCATATTCATGCGGGCTGCCGTCGACAATAAAGTGGCACGGTCATTATAAAAGATATGTGCGGAACGCCTTAGAATCAAATGAGCGGCTTACAGGCCGCGGTGTGACCCTGACTAATTTGGCAATTTCGCGAAAGAGCGTCCAGATGCCGATAGTTTGTATCCTATATCGATGCGGAGATGCAAATTAACTCACACGATATTAATCTGTGCATCACCGTCGCAGCACTCGACGTCAAAGATAACAGAATACGGAAAGAGACGAATTCGTGCAAAAATTTCGTACCAATCGACTCAACGGTAAAAAAGAAAAAGAAAAAAAAGAAAAAAGGATTCACCGTCGCTGAGACCGTCATCGCGTCGGATCTCGGCTGCTTCGTATTCAGGGCGCGGATGAGAGGCAACGAAGTGCGGTTAAAGCGTAAAGTAATTCTCGCCGAAAGATTAAAACTGCCTACGGCGACGCGGCTGAAACATAAAAGGCTTAAAGAGAAATAAAGAAGATAAGCGTGTGTCCAGGTGGCGGAAAGAGCGCCACGGGGATGAGCGGAGGCCGGGGGGAGGGGGAGGACAGCGAATCGCCGTGGGTGTGGGGGAGGGGGAGAGGGTGGGAAGGGAAGAATTCTGAATGCGATATCACCATGACCTACATCGTCCCGCTGAAAAAGAGCGGTGAATACTGAGTATGCTATTGTCAGGCGCGCGGTAGTCGTAGACGACTGATAGTATCTCGGGCAGCGTCGCGCTCACGCAGTGGTTACTACTCTAGCAGCGACAACACTTAGGACTACGGCGTCGCGTGCCAATCGCGATTCGGACGCGTGAGCAAGAATTTTTTAATTATTCGCTATCCCTTCGCCTTTCGCTTCCCCCGCGGGCTCTATTTGCGTCACTTGTCACACCGGCGCTCGAGCTCGCGCGCTCACCACCACGTGACATTGTTCGCTTAACAGCGGCAGTGGCTTCGCTCCGCTTCGCGGCGAGATTAATCCCCCGGCACCGTATTACGGTAATAACAATTTAAATAAGTTACGAAGCGTGGGAGCGCGCGCCGGGGAGGAACGACGAGAAGTAAGACCGGCGCGGCCAGACGCGCCAGTTGTAAAAGTTTATTTGACATTTATGTAACGCGGGCGAAAACGGCGAGCTTGAACTTCGGGCCCGCAGTTAAAATAGGAGGGACGAGAACAGTGGCCGGGCCAGAAGCATAGGTATCTATATTATCCAGTGTATAATATACTGGATTGCTAACTTGGTGAAATACACGGCTCCGGAAAATGTGTACTGAACTCGCGCGCATGTGTCGTGCAAGGAGTATGTTGGTGAGACGATTGTGATGTGAAAGCTTTTGTTCTTCTAATATCCCAATGTTACTACAAGCTATCTCGTCTAAGACATTCAGTAGTACTTGGATCACTCAGTCATATGACTTGAAGGATACATATACAACGACATATCCTTATTTCAAACGTAACCAGTCAGTTAGATCCTGAGGTAATCTCCCTTTCAATCTCAATATCGTTTTAACTTCTCTCATTAGCCGCGAACGTATTTGGATACTTCTCCAGTCTCGATTACGATATTTCTGTTTAAGTCTCCTTACCTCGTCTTTAATAAATGGGATGTTAAGATCGTGATGAAGTATTTCGTTTATGACTATCAGAGAACATCAACAATTATACGAAGGATCTTAGATTGAAGTATAGGATTTCAGTATTAAGATTCGAGGCCGTACTTCACAAGTAGATCCCATAGGCCCAAATAGGTTTAAGAATGGCCTTGTATAATAGCAGCTTGTTTTCAGTTGATGCCTGTGATTTCCTGCCTATCAACCAATACATCTTGGCCAAGTTGGTGTCCCAGTTGTTTACGCTTAGTAAGTATACGTTTCCTTCGATTTAATCTATGATCAAGGTAATCTAAGGTATTGGGCCTTTTCTGTTTGAAGGATTTGCAAATCATTCAAGACTACAGGTGGATAGGTAGACTACGTTACTTTTTCTCACAATAACTTGTTTCTCCGCAAGTAGGTTGCAAGTAGGTATTTTGTAGGTATTTTATAGGTTGTATATTTGCACTTGAGTGTCATTATCTCCTCACGTGTCTCTTTTACCGCTTGGTAAAAGTGATAGTTCATTCATGAAGTGCGATTTAGATCATCGCAAAACTTTAATGTAGAGTTTGCTGAAGTAATGGTTTCTTGAGTTCACTTATTCTTTGTTGTTTTTCAGTAATAAGAAGGTTAGTAAAAGATTTGCGACTATTTCTTAGCGACATTAATATACGACATGCGTAGTTAATATTGCGTAAAAATTTGTAGTGTTATTATTCAACACATTATATGAATTCCACGAGCAGTAGGTAACTGCTGGTCGTTTACCACGAATATATGTAATAAGAAAATGGTTTGACTATATCGAGATTACGCCCAGTGCCCCGAGGAGATCGTTCAGAACACATTATATTTAAACTCCCTGTGCTATTTATTCCTCGGCATTTCCACCTTGAATTAAGAAGCGGTTTTCTGTCAGAATTTTCCTTTCCTTAGCTAATTTGCTCTTGCTTTTAAACGTCAGAGTTTCGCCTTTGGCCTATGATCTTTCTGTTATGAGACATATAGTAGTCATATAATAGTCACATTGCTCGCAACGAAGATGCTAAATGATTGGACTTGCTAATAGTGTTACTGATGACATGCAACTCGGCATTACGCAGCTTTTTATAAGTGCATACCTTTCAACAGGATGTATACCACTGCGTTCTTACCACCCATTTGAATTCCGTGCAAGTTGGATAAGTCAGGTGTGATTGGTTGAACGCACATGAGTAAGTATCGACCATATTACATATCTACTATCTTCTGAGAACTTCGATCCCTACTATACCATGTATGTCTAGATGCTTATTTGTATAGAGAGAGAGAGAAAATATAATACATACTTTTTGGGGTCTCTTATTTGATACCGTATACAGGTAGTCTAATACGAGATTGTCAAATGCATGTGTGCAAGTAGATTAAGCCAAAAACTGGACAAAAAATTCCTCTACCAGTTTTCAACCGCATAAAATTTGGCGATATTAATGAAATAAAATTGGTGAACCAATGCATGCGATATGCCGTGGAACGAGCTCTACATTAAAAAAAAACCGCTAATAACCATCAAATCTGCATACACTGAGAAGAAAATATTTAGTATTTGTAACTATTACATATGGAGAAATAAATTATAATTATAATTTGTAACTATCTCATATGGAGAAATAAATTATAAATTAATACTATAAATTATGATTAAGGAAATAATTTTTTTTTAATTTTACTATAATATTAGAGATAATAATCTTATACACGTGTCCTTACTACTATTTTACTAAAAATTATGGATGAGGCCAAAAATAACTATAATTTTAATTAAATTAATTATGTTTTTTTCTTAGTGTAATAAACATATTGATTTCTATGGGTAAACATACACTGGTCCTTCGGAATACATAGATGTTCGACAATTTACGTCGGAAGTAGAGTTAAAATTTCGACTTTGGTATCAGCTGACATCTGAAAGCGAAATAATGATACGAACGGCTCGTAAACAGTTGTTTTTCGACAGTAGTTTTCCGCGAGCATGTCATACGTTAAAGGCCATTCTACAATTGTAAGTGTAGTTGTAGATAATTATGACAATTAATCAAAATAAAGGAATCAATAAATAAAACATTCTAATTGATTGATTTTTACGTTAACGACCACGCTTACGCAATTGTAGAATAGGCTTAATGTCGCTAAGAAACAGTCGCAAATCTCAACCATTCTCGATGAGATCGCGCCTATGGAACTCTCGTCCCATAGTAATCGTAAGCACTGAAAAGAGGATTGTGTCGAAACAAAATTTAATACTCTAGACTAAAATTTGATTAAAATAGGATCAACAAAATGTTTGATAACTGCAGTTAAAATATTTAATTGCCGCTGTGTATGTTTTGATTTCTCATTAATAGATGTACTTGACACAAATAAAAAACATATAATGCCAAATTGTATGTACCAAATATTTTAATTGCAAATACAAAAATAATTTTTTTTCAGTGCGCATTTTTTCGTCAATCTTTTTTTATTAATATCTGGAAATTTTATGTATTTGTTTGCAAAACAGTAAAGGAATTGTGACCAGCTATGCCTAACCTGTTTGTATATTTCGTGCTTTTCACAATCTCATAGCAGACATTCTGTACGAAGAAGTCTAGCGATATGTGGAAGTCAGTGAACAAGTAGTGATAGAGTAAATCGCGTTCTATGACGTGACTGTCATAGCGGCAAGGAATCGATAGCATAAGTGAGGCACTTATTACGTTTACGAGCGTGCAACACAACGGGACTTAGATAAGATCGTTGTAAAGTTCATCGCGGGCTTTAGCGCCTTATTAATTCAAACTTTCGCTGTAACCAATAAAGTTACAACTCTCCGAACGGCCGGAAGCGATTTCTGCCCGCTCGACGCTTAAACGCGACTAGTTACATTTCGAGGCTTGAAAGCCGATTGCCGGCTGCGAATTAATCTCCGCCGTCCGTTCTCTTCTTTTGACGTTCTTTCTCCCGCTCGCGAAAGAGCACAGAACTTTTGAGCGAATGTCGATAAAATACCTTGATTAAAACGAACTAATCTTTCGCATTAAATATAAATCGTGCATCACGTGTCCTGGATTCACTGTCTGGAAATTGATTCGAATTCCAGCTTTTTTTCATAAATTCTTAATTCCAGTGCAAATTCTAGTTTTTTTTCTTTTTACAAAAAGATAAGCAATTAATGCAGAAATAACGTGTATATTTATACATATACATGTATATATATACACATATATACATAGATACATACACACACACACACACACACACACACACACACATACATATAAATATATGGAGGAAATTACTGTACTTCGGAATAATTTTGAGTACTTCATTTTTCTTCACCACAATTTTGTTAAAAAAACCTTGAAAAAATATATATCATTAAACTGTATATAAGCACATCTGTATTTCAGCATATCTTTAAAAAAATATTTTTATTACCATCTGGTAAGAGAATACAATAATTTTAAGAAATCAGAAATTTTGTTTTAAGGCATAGAGAGCAACTTAACGTATTTTAAAACACTATAAAAAGTCTTTAAAAAAACTGCTCATCTTTCCAAAAAAATATAGTATTTTACTAAATTTAGTAACATTTTTGTAAATATTATGCATAAGTAAAGTAAAAGTATATATATATATATATATATATATATATTACGTAACATAATAGCTATAATACAAACAAACTTTTACTCGTTTCAATTATTAATAAAAATAAAAAAGTTCATAGCGAAATAAGTAACTAAAAATTATATAACACATACACGCACGCACGCACAGGATGTTTACAAAATACTTGGACAAAATTCTTGGGCGTATTCCTTTTGTCAAAAAAAAAAAAAAAAATATATATACACACACATATTACTGTTGGTTTACATCTTTATCACCAAACTTTATTCACCAAAAATCTTCTTACGCTTGCACATAGCAGATATAAAAAGTGTAACGATAATTTAATGATAATTTTCTTCATCTTCCCATTCAACTCGTTAGTGTTTGGTGGGACGAACTCTGAAGCGCATGGAAGATGTAAACGCGCCCACGGCAGACGACATCCACTTTTAATTTTCGCATTAAAAATTTCTTCAAAAAGCGGAAGCCGAGTGGCCCGTCGGGCTACATTTTATTATAGATGCAGCTAACTCGATTGTCTCTCTTTTTCTCTCTTTCTCGCTTTCTGTCTTTCACTTTCTCCATCGCATACCAGAACATGCGGCACACGACTATGGCCATTACCAACGAGTATGACCTTTTCAGAATGCCAGCAAATGTTACAAGCAGTCGCGTGACAGCAGAAGAGGCGACGGATACGGTCCCTTATCCGCGCGCGCAGCTCCCGCGAGGCGCAAAGTTATGATTACGAGCGCCCACGGTGCTAAGGGACATAAATTTTACGGCCGCTTCGGCCGACAAGCTCGATTGAAGTACGAAATTGGAGCCGCCGACTGCATGGCGTTTAATAAGGATTCCGTCGTATCAGCGGAAGCCTTTTACGAGAACCTGGAATCTGGAACTGACAAGGTCGAGGACGACATTTCTACGGAATATATACGACGTTCTATATGTGCTCGCTTAAAGACGAACTAATTTTTTGCGGCGGCACAAAAGAAGAAGAGAGAGAAAGAGAGAGAAGTTCGTAAAGTTTAAATATAATTGTATCATTTGTCGGAGCAGTAGTATAACTCAACGATAAGTCTTACTCTTTGAAGAAAGCAACACGTCTAATTAATTCACTGCGATATATGTGAGGTCTCAGACAATATAATCCACATAATTTAAATTTTTTATACTATAAAAAATATAATGAAGATATTATAAAATTATTATAAGCGACAACGCGTGAGGAAGCTTACGTTTGTAAACAAAACATTAAAGGAAGAAACGTGCATTCTGTTCGTTCTTATGGTAGATTGATTCCTTTCGAAGAAAACAAGTAAACAGTTTTAATTTATATTAAATATTGTTAGATCGTCGGGATAATTGTTCATTGTTATTTTATTCCGGCAGTATAAATATAAAATGGAAATAAGATACGACTATTCATTGAGCTTCTTTAATCTGTCACGTTGGGCTCATTATCGATCTCGCCCGAATTTTAATTTTGAATTACATGCAAATTAGCGGAATGAAGGTTTTCAGTATGCATGTTAAAGAGAGTTATAGGGAAGGGAGTTAGTCGGTGGGGAAATGATAATTAAACACTAGTGAGACATTTCAAGTGTAGACTGTCATATAACAAAAAGTTGCTCTGGAGTCGTTTTCATTGACTTTAGAACACCAAATTAAGGTGTCAAAATGTAAAATTTAAACATAAAATAAAGATGATGTTTCGTTATATTTTTAAATTATATTTCGATTATATTTCGAAAAATTTCTTATATTAAATATTATATATAAGAAAAGCTTTTTATTGTAATCAAATCCACGTTATAATACATCAATACTGCAAAAACTTGCAACTATTGATGATTTTATTTGCTTTTTGATTGAAAAAAATGTATATTTTCGTGTATCAAAATAATTGCACTTTTTCACAAATTGAGATATATAATTGTTTTCTTAAAAGTTCATATACTGACAAAAAAAATTTCAGCGTGACAATTTTATAAATTTATTTTTAGAAAAATTACAAATTTTTATGCAAACTGATGTTTTCATCCCGTTTCCCTTTATATTTGCTGTAAAATAAAATACCCAAATAAATATTTGCAGCTTTCATTTCTGTACGTAACTCTATTCTACACACTTGAAAGATACAAATATATTTATTATTTTTCGTAGAGTTTTATTAGCATTTTTACAGCACGAGTAAATAGGATTGTTTTCGTGGACGAAAACAACTCCAGTGTGCCAGATTAACGTGCCCAAAACATGTGAGAGTTAATTATTTCCAGATCGTCGGCGAAGTTGTTGATTGTTATTTCATTTCCAGTATCTCTAATCATAAAATGGAACATAAAATAGAAATGTTCGATAAACTCCACTAATATTGGTTGCGATATCATTCGGAAGTGGATCACTAGATAAAACGTGCGAGAAAAAATTTTTAATCCGGGAAGGAAGAGTAATGGATATTAAATGGAAACTCGAGTGCAGTTTTCTTTAGTCTCGTATACCGTATCGTTGTTATCGTCGGTAATCCTCGACGTGGTGCAACCACGTACGAAGTGGCGAACCACCACTATGAGCTATAAATATGGATTCTATTAAATTAAGTGAGACCGCCTTTTCCAGAGGCTTCGCCAAAAATCCAATAGATTAAGATAAGCTCGATGTATAGTTCGATAGTTCCAGTTGCCATATGGTGCAGCTGTGTGTGTACGGTGAGTAACGAAAAAAAAAAAGTATAAGAGCCCATCTCATCTCTTTTTTAGTCGATTTATATCCAGAGAAAAAGAGAGAAAAATAGCGCAAAGTCTCTGTCCGAATATATGTACTATATGTCTTCATTTATCATTGATATATTGAATAACAGCGCAAACACACGCATACACACGCGCGCGGTTTTCTTCACGTGCAAAATGATTCAAAAAGAGACGCAAATACCTTTCGATCTCGCTGCATACATTCGTAATTTCTGTCCGATGCTGCCTAATTGATGGACTAAATCGTGATATTGTTAGCGACATTAAATTATAATTGATGCATCGCAATGGCTGACATCGTGCCGCGCTGTAAACTGTCACGCGTCGAGCTCGGATCGCGCCGATATAATTTGAATAACCCAACAAATATTCGCGATGGAGATTTTTACATTAAATCCAGAGAAACATACCGGCGACGACCTTTGCAAATGATCATGGCGACCGGAGCACGCATGTGATGATCAAGGGAGTTCGGTGTAAAGCTTTCAGTCCTGACGTAAATTTATTAGCGTCACGCTAATCGGAGCACGCACGCACGCACGCACGCTCGTTCATTCGCTCGCTCTCACGATATCCCGGTAATATCTGAAATTCGCGCGGACAGCAACGTCATTTGCTGTAGTTCTTAGTGTATCCGTCGGCTATTCCCAAAACGACAAAACGTCCCTTGCAAAGAGAACTTCTACCACAATGTACAGTTGCTTGATTGTTACTTTCATCACTACGTGGAAGTTTCAGTCCTTCTGTTTTACTCGATTATTCCCTGATTTCCCTCTTTCAGTTTTTGTAAGCGTTTTCTTTACTCCAACATGAAACTTGGAACGACTATCTTAGTTAAGAAACAATCAGAGCCACGCGGGTTGACAGTCGCCATTAATTATCGATCGCGGAAGAATAATAATGTCGACAAAGTGTTGCATGTGCTGAGATATTTTTCGAATCTTAGCACACACAGAGCATTTTTGCCTCCTACCAACGACGAATCAACCCTATATTCTGATCATATCAATTCTAAAGCCTCCACCAAATCTGATTTTAGAATTAATATGATCGAGAGATACAAGATTAGTTTGCCGTTGGATTTCTATACATAACTGTATGCTACAAACTTGAGAAAGTATATTTATTATTTTTATAGGTTTTTATAGATTAGCTGTTACGAAATATAAATTATAATGATGAGAATATGAAATGAAGTACAGCAGAGCTATTTCAATTATTGTTATGTAATAAAAAAGCAAAGTTGCTATAGGACTGTTTTTAACCTCAGTGTGCCAGTGTGCAGATTAAGAGGATGCCAAAGCAGATGACAAACTTCAAAAATGTCGATAACGTAGAGGCAATCGTCAAAACATCATATCGGATAAGCACTGACACGGTCGAACTACTTTTTTTCGTGTTTCTTGTGCATACAAACTTTTTGTATTTCATTTAAAGATTTTGTATTTTAATGTGTTATACCACCATATTTAGTGGAAAATCTAATCACGCATATATAGAAATCTTTCTGCAGGCTGTTTATATATTTTTAAACTTTTAAATTCAGTTGTAAAGGTGCAGCAATGTGCTTTGAAACTTCTCGGGACGAGCAAACATACGTTTTGTATTTTCAACCTACAGGATTTTCGTATAAGGCAAATGTTTGCACTAACTGACAGCTCGATATGTCAATTTCGAAAATTTTTATTCTTTTCATCACATATGGAGTAATGTTCCGATTCATTTTTGCACGTATATTTTCATTGTATAGAAGCATTTGTAATTCTGTAAAACCAATACGACATAAATTTTACTGGCAAAATATCATTATATCGTCGGTAAAATTTTCATTTATGGTTCCCCTTAGTAGATATCAAAGTATAAAATAGAAATATAAAGTAAAAGTTACTTTTCGTTATATATCGGTTCTTTATATATTAAATGTAATACAAAAATGAAAAAAGTTTTATGTGAGAACATCATATTTATTTCTAATCGTATCATATATATGATACGACTAGAATATTTACGTGATCATTTCTGTAGATAATTCCATTCTACATACTTTAATATGTTTATTATATTTTATAGATTCATATTAGCTGTTACGAAATTTAAATGAGTAAGAATGAAAACGAACTGTTATGGAATTTATATGAGCAGAAACACGAAGACGAACTTTCGCAGAATTTAAATGAGTAAGAACGAAAATGATCTTAGTGTGCCAGATTATGGTGCTCGAAAGAAGTGTACCATGTGAGAGTTAAGATTACGAAAATGCCTCAGCACGTGCGATACGTTCATCGACATTATTATCCTGGCGCAATAAATAATTAATTAACCGCAACTGTCAATCTACGCAGTTTTTATTGACTAAGAAGTTTCTTAATAATTGCATATCAGAGAGCTCATAATAAAAGTTCTTTAACTCCTGTAAGATCACCGCAAGGCCGCGAGTTTACATTTCAATTAAATTGAATTCCGCGACGTTTTAACACATCTTAGTTTTTACAGCGCGAATGTCCTTTCACACATAAAAATTTTAATGGCTCGCATCTTGCGAGTAATATAATACATTATCGCGGCTGGTGACGGGTGGCCGTGCCCGAACTAAATTTAATGCACAAATCGGCGAAAAAGGTGAAGATTTATCGCGTATAATCAGAGTTAAAAATAATCTCTAACGGCGTCTCACCTTACTCATGTCTCGTTCCGATCCATCTTCGCACGTGACACCACCGTTCCACTACCACCGCCATCACCACCACTACTCCCAGCACCGCGTCCAACCCCTTGTTCAAAGAATCATGGAACGGAAGTCGAGATCGCGTTGCGACACTACCGACTGTTTTATTTAGCCTGCGTGGGACGCCTCTGTCGGCGATCGTTGAGACGTGCTCCCTATTTTTTTATACGAACTGCTCGTAAATATTCAACGGAGGAGCAAGTACCTACCTACGGCTACCTACGCAGGCTTTGCCGTCTACCCATCGCCATGATGCGATCCTTTTTACTACATGCAAAATTACGCTAATGCAATATCATAAAAGGTACCGCAGGCGGGTCTTCTTTCCCGTGGAGAATGTAAAATTATGAGGAAGGCCGGGCGTAGAGAGAAAGAGAGAGAGCGTAGAGAAATTCAATGCATCTACCCCTTAAATCGGCGAGAGAAGATAGAGGAACTATTTATAGCCCCCACGATTTTTGCCACACTCATCGCGGGACGTTAAATCTTCGCGAGGAAAATATTCCGCGCGATGTGGCGCTTTATTCTTCAATTGCTCTCTCGCAGATCAGAATTGCTGCTGTTCGTTCTGACCGTGACAAGAGAAATGAATTCGTCGCGCAAATCAGTTCGCGCGAATTGTCCGATTGTCCGTGAATTTTATGTCCGAGCGGTCCTACGCGGACGTGTGGTTGCTGCTGTGCTATTCTCGCTCGTTAAGGGTGGGAACATGAAAAAATATGAATTTCATCAAGAGATTCCAATCTCACGACCCTCGGAGCATCCTCGAGGCGCATGTAAACACACCCACGCGCGACTCCAATCACGCGGGATTAGAATATTAAATTACACCGCGTATTAATTTTATATATATATATGTGTGTGTGTGTGTGTGTGTGTGTGTGTGTATGTGTGTGTGTACATATATATGTACGCGTCGCATATTAAATCGACGCCGTGGCGACAAGCCGCCGGCCCGTCCTTCTCGTGCGGCGACAATAAGAACGCAATTCGGAGGACAAAAGCGCGCTGAAGTCTCACGGACGAATAGCGGGACAATGGGTGCATTTCTACCTTTCAATTGTCATATCGGCCATGGTATCGCGCGGAGTAGAAACGCGACGCATTCGTATGCGTCGGGATGGCCTTTGACACGTACTGCATGCAGAAGTACGATAACAAGTTATAATACGTAAGACCGAGTTCTTCGCTCGTATGACCCAAAAAATCACGTACGAAA